TCTGAAGCCTTTATCCTAAAGGTAAACGTTTATCTTGCCTCTATACAAAATTTTAGGACCACCTGAGCGATTTTTTTTGTAAAAAATTGTAAACTTTCAAATTCGATAACTTTCGATAAATCGTAAATTTTGCGAAGAATAATTAACTTTTTAGTTATTTTTTTCTCTTGTATATTTGTGTTTTTTTTTGTTGAGCATGAAAATCTGATTCAAAAATAGAATTTATTTGCCACGCCATTGATTTTATCGAAATGTTATCGAATTGTGTATGTGGGTTATTCAGCTTCGCTTTAATCACAAAATGATATATTGTAGCAATTCATTAAAAATTATTTTTAATTCTATCGATTTCAAATTTTGTTGTTGTTTTTGTTGATTTTTTTTTGCTTGATTATATCTACAATCAAATGTTGATGGATGAGTTCCTATCAAAACAACTTTCAATTCGATTTGTTTACATTGGGGTGTTGTGGTTGTTGATTTAAAAAAATCGAAAAAATAGCAGCAATGAAAATCAAAAAAACAAAAAAAAATTGTTTATATTTATTGAAATCAAAGGCAGGGTGTGGGGTGGAAATCAACGAAATTTAAATTTTTTTATTTTGAAAATTAAATTAAAAAAAAACTCAATTTTTTTTAAAAAAAGAGAATTTTTTCCGCAATTAAAAAAATGGACCATGCAATCTAAAAATATAATGGTATGTGTGTGGTGATATTATCGTAACCGGACAACAGTGATTAACTACATTTAAAATATCTCTTAGCATTTACGTCACATATACCGCAAAAAAAATTGTAAAAATGGTCGTGGTTTGGCCAAAGACTTGACTATGCGATTTTTTTTTGCAATTTCTAGATTTTCTTTATTTAGCTTGAGGGCTTTGTTTGAAATTGGATTCCTTGTCTAACTTACAAAAAATAAATAAATGCGAAAACCCACATGCTTTAGCGCAGCATAAATACAGAATTGGACGTCACGACAATAGCCCAAAGATAGAAGCCTTAAAGAACAGCAACAAAACGCCCACTGTACCAAGCGGAAATGCATAGACACTTAGAGAAATACTTCGGTGTTATATCGTAAAATATAATTTTCAAAATATACCAAAACAAAAAATCCTAAATTTTTATTGCAAAGAAAAAAATCATATATCGTAATTTTTTAATATCGTATTTTTTATATCGTAATTTTTTAATCCAAAAAACGATATATCGTATTTTTTAATATAGTAATTTTTTAATATCGTATTTTTTCTAATGTCGTAAATTGTTATTTATAGTAGAAATTTTTATACCAAAAATTTTAAAACAAATTTTTCTATTGAAAAAATTTACGATATTAAAAAAATCAAATGTATCGTAATTTTTGTCGATTTTTTTCTAAAACTACATGGTGCAGAGATTTTTATTATAAATATAAATAAAATATTTTTTCAAAAGAAAAAAATCACATTAAAATTCAATATTCTAAGAACAGTGAAAAATAACGATATATCGTAATTTTCTTAAATATCGTAAATAGTTATTTATAGTAAAAAATTGTATACCAAAACATGTAAAACAAAATTTTATATTAAAAAAAAATTCAGATATTTACGATATTAAATAAAATCCAATATATCGTAAAGAATTTTTTCTATTCCAAAAATGTGTCTATACGATATATCGTAAAGAATTTTTTCTATTCGAAAAAATGTGTCTTTACGATATATCGTAAAGAATTTTTTATATTCGAAAAAATGTGTGTCTTTACGATATATCGTAAAGAATTTTTTCTATTCGAAAAATTGTCTTTATGATATATCGTAAAGAATTTTTTCTATTCGAAAAATTGTCTTTACGATATATCGTAAAGAATTTTTTCTATTCGAAAAATTGTCTTTACGATATATCGTAAAGAATTTTTTCTATTCGAAAAATTGTCTTTACGATATATCGTAAAGAATTTTTTCTATTCGAAAAATTGTCTTTACGATATATCGTAAAGAATTTTTTCTATTCGAAAAACTGTGTCTTTACGATATATCGTAAAGAATTTTTTCTATTCGAAAAACTGTGTCTTTACGATATATCGTAAAGAATTTTTTCTATTCGAAAAATGTGTCTTTACGATATTTCGTAAAGAATTTTTTCTATTCGAAAAAATGTGTCTTTACGATATATCGTAAAGAATTTTTTCTATTCGAAAAAATGTGTCTTTACGATATATCGTAAAGAATTTTTTCTTATGGAAAAAATGTGTCTTTACGATATATCGTAAAGAATTTTTTCTTATGGAAAAAATGTGTCTTTACGATATATCGTAAAGAATTTTTTCTTATGGAAAAAATGTGTCTTTACGATATATCGTAAAGAATTTTTTCTTTTGGAAAAAATATGTCTTTACGATATATCGTAACGAATTTTTTCTATTGGAAAAAATGTGTCTTTACGATATATCGTAAAGGATTTTTTTCTATTGAAAAAATGTGTCTTTACGATATATCGTAAAGGAATTTTTTCTATTAGAAAAAATGCATATATTGTAAAGCATTTTTTATACCCTCCACCATAGTATGGAGGGTATATTAATTTTGTCATTCCGTTTGTAACACACCGAAATATTCATTTCCGACCCTATAAAGTATATATATTTTGATCAGGGTAAAATTCGAAAAAATGTGTCTTTCCGTCCGTCCGTCCGTCTGTTGTAATCACGCTATCTTCTGAAGGAATTGAGATAGGGTGCTGAAATTTTGCACAGGGTTGTCTTTCGTCTGCAGGCAGGTCAAGTTCGAAGATGGGATATATCGGTCCACGTTTAGGCATAGCTCCCATATAAGGGTACCCTCCAAATTTCGGTATTTTGGTGTTCTTGAGCGCGTTTTTCAGCCGAATTCGCTGAAATTTGGTACATTGGGTTCTTATTGGATACTTAATGTCTCCACAAAAAATTTTAACTATAGGTCCATATTTTCTGATAGCCCCCATATAACGGTACCTCCTAATTTTCAGTATTTTGGGGGTTTTGGTCGTATTTTTTCACCGAATTGGCTGTAATTTAGTATTTTGAGTTCTTAATAGGTACCAAATCTCTCTACAAAAAAGTTATGTATATAGGTACATTTTTTTGGATAGCCCCCATATAAGGGTACCCCCAATTTTCGGTATTTTGGGGTTCTTGAGCGCGTTTTTTAACCGAATACGCTGAAATTTAATACATTGGGTTCTTAATAGGTACAAAATCTCTCCACAAAAAATTATAAATATAGGTCAATTTTTTCGGATAGCCCCCCATATAAGGGTACCCCAAATATAGCGCGTTTTTCAACCGAATTTGCTGCAATTTGGAATTTTGTAGTCGTATTGGTAACAAATCTCCCTTATTGCCCCCTTTTTGGGGTAGTCCCCATATAACCCCCTTTTTTTATATTAAAATAGTTATCTGATTTGTTGCGCGTTTTGGGTTTGGTTCTAAGACCCTTTTGTAATCATTTCAACTGCGGAGGATAGAGAGATAAAAAATTAGAACGTAAGGTTCGGTAGTGAACTATAGCCGCATTTAGACCTAGCCCCTGATTGGAGGTTCCAGAAGGAGTGGACCGATATTCCCCATCTTCGAATTTGAACTAAGCTTGGAAGAAATAATAAGATGGGCAAACTTCGGATGAAATCTAAATTTTCTGAAACGGATTTGGTCCAAATTTCGATGAGGCACATTTGCATCGTGTTAAAGTGTATACACCCTCATTAGCCATAAGGCTGAGGGTATAATTATCCTTTAAAAATTTCGAAAATTTTTATTATGGTTTACATAATCCGTTTTTAGAAATGTCGGTATAGGTCCACTTTTTGGTATGTTTCCTATATTTTCATTTATAGTACCTGTCAATATAACTATGGTGGAGGGTATCCAAAGTTCGGCCCGGCCGAACTTACCGCTTATTCACTTGTTCTATTTGAAAATTGTTTTTACGATGTATCGTAAAAAAGTTTTTTATTTGAAAAAATGTCTTTACGATGTATCGTAAACAAATTTTCTTTTTAAAAACTGTTATAATATGCCTTAAAATGATTTCTATTATAAAAAATCTATGCAATTTTGAAAAAATCTTAACGATATATGGAAAAAATTACGATAAAAATTTACGTTATGTAGAAAAATTTACGATATATCAAAAAAATTGAATACATATGAAAAAGTTATAACATTTGTCAAAATAATCTATAGAAAAAATTTACGATATTGCAGAAAAAAATTTACGATATTGCAATTTTTTACGATATATCAAAAAAATTGTCTAGAAAAATATCGTGTAACATTTAAATTCTATTTAATGGTAATTGTTGCAAATTGTGCAATAGTACTGCTATTGGTGTTTGTTGAGGCTTCGTGTGCGGTTTTTATTCGCGCTATTCTATTGGGTATTTGCCGATATTTTGTCATAGCTCAGCCAGCGTTTGTTTTGGTTAAATTAATGGTTAATTTATGCCTCAGTAATACGCTTGACTGCACTTTTTTGTGAAACATTGAATGGAAAATGGTTAGAGCGTTGATCGCAATCCATTGTTGCTGCCGATTAATTGGAAACCCAAGCGAAGCGATAGAAGGCATTCCGGCACAGCCACCGCCTAGTAGTGTTAGTTTTATTAGTTTTTCTGTTTTTAATTGTGATAATTAAAATTCTAATGACGCAAATGCCATAATTATATAATACGACGACGACAGGCCCGGGTTTCATGTCATCGAGAAGTCGGAACGAACAAAAAACGCGAATTTATTATTTCGGAATTTCGTAACTGAAACTTAGTCTAGTTGCATGAATCATTTTGGAATTTACAAAAGTAGTTCAGTGGAGGAACACCAAGAAGAGAATTCATTTCGAAGTTTATTTTTCCGAATTTTTTCTAAAAATTAGATTTTTTAGGAAATTAAAAAATTCAAACAAAAAAAAATATTATATTTCAAGAAAAAAATGTTTGACTTTTGTGGGAGTGTGTGCGTGTGTTATTAAATGTTATGCTGCCCGAGAAGATGTCTCTCTGTGCCTATCCTCAAGTTCGGATCTATGAAGACTTTGACAAAATGAGTGCCAAGGAAGTCTACTATAACGAGGCGGGCAAGAAAATCACCGTGAAGCTATTACATTTCCCTGAGGTGCCACCTGAGGAGATCAACAAAATGACGTTCGAAGAGGAGGAACAAAAGCAACAAGAGATTATAAATGGCAACAAGCCGATAATGGATAAAAACAAAGCCAAGAAGGCGAACAACAAATCAATCGCAAATGACGAAGAAGAAGAAGAGGAGGAGGAGGATTTGAATAATGAAACCACCGTGGAGGACGAAGACGACGATGAAAAAGAAGCCGATGAGGCAGAGGAGCCGAAAATCTCAGATACGGATAAAAAACATCCCTCCTCCCCATTGCCCACAAAGAAAACTTTGCGGAAAAAATCTTCGGGAAATTTGCTGCATGGTCGTAAGGTTAGCATGGCATTTGCCCAGGCCCATGGTATGCCTACAGTGGCCTCGACGGCTCCATCCACTACGGGTGCTATACCCAAAACACCTCCGCCCACACCAACCATAATGATACCGCCCAAAGGCTTGTTTGAGTCCACCGAAACGATTGCCACCCTGCGCAAACATTCGCTAATGAATCGCCGTTCACCCTCACCGCATGGTGCCAATAATTTGTGTCCTGGCTATGCCCAGTATTCGAAGTCATTTTTGGAAGTACCCCTGCCCAGGGATTATGGTTATGCCTCAAGTGATGATTTAAGTTCGGAATGGGATTCCGATGTACCCACACCGAATAGTCAGGTTAAAAAGGTAAGAAGGATTTTTAATATGGAAAAGCAATAAAAAAATAATTAAAACAAAAAATAATAAAAAAATATTTAAAAAAAATAATTAATTAAAATCATATTTTCAATGACCTATCAAAGACGTGGATTTTTTTTTAATTCGAAACGTAGATCTATGGTGGAGATTATCCCGCCCTTTCCCTCTCACAACACAAGAACTAAAAAAATTACATTGTAAACTTTTGGACATGTATTAATTTAGAGTCATTTTTCCCACCTTATACTTAATTTTAGAAGGTTGGTGTTAAGGAAAAAAATATTCTACATCGAATTTCACTATGGGTCTCCGAACACAAGGAATCGGTATATATAATAATAGCTATGAATTTTTTAGCAATAAAATATGAAAACATTTAAAGAGTTTTTTTAATTGAAAAATTTTAGGTAATTTCTTTACAAAGCCAATTTGTCCCACTGTACTTGATTTTAGGGGCTTGAAGTCAATGGAGAAAATGTTCTACATGAAATTTCATTATGGGTCTCAGAACACCAAAAATCGGTATATATAATATATATCACTATAAAATACAACATTAATTTGGGTCTCTTAATAAAATCGTTTTTATGAAACAATTTTGGCCTATTTTCACTTTGGGTCATTTTGGACCCTTAGCAATGACTTTAGTGACTTGCGATAAAGGGGAAATATAATCTACAGGAGATTTCATTAGGGGTCTCTGAACACAAGAAATCGGTATATATAATATATATCCCTAAAATTGCAGTAAAAATTTGGCTATATTAATAAAAATACTATTTTTGGTTATTTTTACCTTATTTTTTAAGTTGGCTCATTTTCTGCCCTTCCACTTCACTTTAGCGACTTGAGATCAAGGGGAGTTAAAATCCACAGGAGATTTCATTGTGGGTCCGGAACACAAGAAATCGGTATATATAATATATATCCCTAAAATCGCAGCAACAATTTGGCTATATTAATAAAAATACTATTTTTAGTTATTTTTAACCTATTTTTTAAGGTTGGCCCATTTTCTGCCCTTCTACTTCACTTTAGCGCCTTGAGATCAAGGGGAGTTAAAATCTACAGGAGATTTCATTATGGGTCCCGGAACACAAGAAATCGGTATATATAATATTTATTGCAGAAATTTCAATTACAATCTGGGTCTATTAATAATACACAAATTTATTGGGATAATTTTGGTTTTTTTCAACTATGGACCAATTTAGTCCCTTTCCTTTAACTTTAGCGACTTGTAAGTAAGGAAAAAAATATTCCCCATCGAATTTCATTATGAGTCCCTGAACCCAGGAAATTAGTATTTATAAGAAATATTACTGAAAATTTAGGTATAAATATGGGTATATAAATAAAAAAATATTTTTGTAATTATTTTCATACTTTTTTCAATTTAGTGGCATTTTGTCCCACTGTACCAAATTTTAGCGTGTTGATGTTAATGAAAAAAATGTTCCCCATCGAATTTCATTATGGGTCCAGGAAAACAAGAAATCTGTATCTCGAATAGAAAGCATGGAAATTGTAATACGAATTTGGGACTTATAGTCCCCAAATAAAATATTTTGAAATTTTGTTTCGTTTTAGAAATCTAGGCCATTTTTGCCCACTGTGCCTCATTTTACGAACTTGGTATCAATGAGAAAAATAATCTACATGAAATTTTACTTAGGGTCCCCGAACACCCGAAATTGATAGCTATAATATATACCACTGAAATACTTCTAGAAAATGTTAAAATTAAAATAAACAATTATTTTTGGGTTTACTTTCAACGGAGGTCAATTTCTCCCCTTAATCTTCATCCTAGAGGTTTGGTCTCAATGAAAAATATCTTCTCCGGCAAATTTCACTATCGGTCTCTGAATATAAGAAATCTGTATATAAAATATTAAACAATAAAAACATAACCTTAATTTGTGTCTCTTCAGAATTTGATGACAATATTTCCTAAAGACATTATTTGTTTTTCTTCCGAACTAGACATATTTGTTTGCTTCCCTGAACTATGGAATTCCATTTGGTGTATTCATTTCTTTGTTTCGAATCGTTATCAAAATTAGTCTCAAGTAAATAATGTTTTTTTTTTCTTTCTCTAATTGAAAATTGACGTAGGCAAAATTTTTCTTATCATATTCGCAGCAGACAAAGGCATCATTTGTATATATGTATATAGTTTTAAGTTGTACTTACTAATAATCGGAAATTAGAATTGTTGTCAACGTGACTTAATGTGTGTGTGTGTGCCATGTATTTAATTTATAAATTAAAAATAATTACGATATTTTCCGATTAGAAACACAGGGAGCGTATGAGTGATGACAACATGTATACGTCACATCTGGAAATGAGAGCAATTTCTCTAAACGTTTTTACCCAGAGGTCGTATGATTAACGACACAAAGCATACGTTTCAAAATCCTGTTTTTAGGTTCACAATTTAATACAAGCCTCTCTTTTTGGGAAGATATCCAAAATACAGTTTCTTTTTTATTCTCAAAAAAATGACAAGCCTTTTTTCTGTTAAAAAATTAAATCACGTTCCATGCCGATTTGGAGTTAATTACACTTTTGGAATAATAAAAAACATATTTTAATTATTCGCACATTTTTTTGGCAGGTTCTAAAATATTTTTACCCTTTTTTTGAAAATCACAAATAAAAATAAAATCAATTTTTTTTTTAATTTTATTCTCACATTCCAAACACCCACTATACGAGTAGTTCAGTTTTTTTCCTATCTCTAAAAGGCTATCTGAACGACATACTAACATAATTGATAAAATTCTAATATTTAAGTCACGTTTCCTGGGGTGCCGCCGTCACTAAAACGCCAACAAACAAATATTTACATATGCCAATCATGCTTCTGGTGTGTCGCGTGTGTGTATGTGTGGGTTTTTAAAAACTGTATTGATTTTTTTTTTCGAGATTTGAGATTTACATAATATTAACATAACTATTACAAATGTCATTATTAATAGATATTGGATGAGATAATTCGCAGAATAAAATAAGGCAATAAAAATCTAAAATAAAGACCAACCACAGGCGTGGATTTTTTAAAACATGTTTTTCAATGACCTCTCAAGGGCGTGGATTTGGACCCTTATCCACGCCTTTGGTCTTTATTTAGATTTTTTATTTATGGTCCAACATGAAAAAAGCCAAAATGTATTCAAAATTTTTTATCATTTATTATAGACCCAAATGTTTATAAAGATTTCATTAGTAAATATTATATATACCGATTTCTTGTGTTCCGAGACCCATCATGAAATCTCCTGTAGATTTTATCTCCTCTTTATCACGAGTCCCTAAAGTCATTGATAAGGGCCCAAAAGGGTCCAGCATGAAAAAAGGTCAATATTTTCCCAAAAATATTACAATTTATTATAGACCCAAATGTTTATAAAGATTTCATTAGTAAATATTGTATATATCGATTTCTTGTGTTCCGAGACCCATAATGAAATCTCCTGTAGATTTTAACTCCCCTTGATCTCAAGTCCCTAAAGTGAAGTAGAAGGACAGAAAATGGGCAACCTTCAAAAATAGGTTAAAAATAACCAAAAATGGTATTTTTTTATTAATATATCCTAATTGTTACTGCGATTTTGGGGATATATTATATATATATCGATTTCTTGTGTTCCGGGACCTATAATTAAATTTTATGTAGATTGTAACTCCCCTTGATCCCAAGTCGCTAAAATGAATAATAAGGGTCTAAAATGGCCCAAAGTTAAAATAGACCAAAAAATGGTAACAAATACGTCAGCTTATATAGACCCACCTTATTATAAAGATTTCAGTACTAAGTATTATATATGCCGATTTCTTATGTTCCGGGACCCATAATGAAATTTCCTGTAGATTGTATCTCCCTTTGATCGGAAGTCGCTAAAGTCTAATATAAGGGCAAAAAATGCTCCAATATTTAAAAAAGACCAAAATTAACCCAAAAATATTATTTGCTTAATTGATGCAAATTGTTATCTATATTTTATCGGTACCTATTATATATACCGATTTTTTGTGTTCCGCGACCCATAATGAAATCTTCTGTAGATTGTAACCCTCCTTGATCTCGAATCGCTAAAGTGAAATATAACGGGACAAATTGGCCCATACTTGAAAAAGACCAAAATTATCTCAATAAATCTCTGTTTATTAAAAGACCTCAAATTGTTATAAAGATTTCAGTATTAAATATTATATATATATATATATATATATATATATCTTATGTTCCGGGACCTATAACAAAATTTCACGTAGATTGTAACTCCCCTTGATCTCAAGTCGCTAAAGTGAAAAATTAGGGCCGAAAATGGACCAAATTTCGAAAATAGGTCAAATAGTACCCAAAATAGTAGTTTTTTAATATACCGAAATTTTACCTGCAATTTTAGCGATATATATGATATTAATCGATTTCTTGTGTTCCGGAACCCGCAATGAAATCTTTTGTAGATTGTAACTCCCCTTGACATCAAATCGCTATTGAGAATTATAAGGATCCAAAATGACCCAAAGTGAAAATTGACCAAAATCATCTCAATAAATCTCTGTTTTGTTAACAGCCCCTCATTGTAAAAATTATATATAAAAATTATATATACCGATTTCTTGTGTTCCGAGAAATGAAATCAACTGTAGATTTTAGCTCTCCTTTATCCCAAGTCGCTAAAGTGAAAAATAAAGGCAAAAAATTGACCAAAGTTAAAATAGACCAAAATAATAGCAAAAAATACGTCAGCTTATATCAATTTATAGCACTTTATTATAAGGATTTCAGTATTAAATATTATATATATCGATTTCTTGTGTTCCGAAACCCACAATGAAATCTTCTGTAGATTGTATCTCCTCTTTATTACGAGTCCCTAAAGTCAGTGATAAGGGCCCAAAAGGGTCCAGCATGAAAAAAGGTCAAATTTTTCCCAAAAATATTATAATTTATTATAGACCCAAATGTTTAT